GCACCATAAAGGGGAGCTGCCTCCTGCCCTCAAGAAACAGATCGCACCTGGCGATCTCCATGATCGCTGTGTCCTGGTCATGTGATGTGGTAAAAGGCCAATCACAGTGGCCTTTTACCATGTGATCAGCTGTGTCCAATGATACAGCAGATCACCAGGTAAATACAGTTGCTGGTTATTGGCTGCACTTTCCTCACGTTGTCACAATTGTCAGAGAACAGATCAGCACTGATCATTGGGGCACTGATGATCAGTGCCACACACCTATGCCCATCAGTGCCATCCATCAGTACTGCCTATCAGTGCAACATCATCTGTGCCAGCTCATCAGTGCCCATCAAAGCTGCCTATCCATGCCACCTCATCAGTACCCATCAGTGCTGCCTGTCAGTGCCCATCAGTGCTGCCTATCAGTGCCCATCAGTGCTGCCTATCAGTGCAGCATCATCAATGCACATCAGTGAAGGAGAAAAATTACCTGTTTGCAAAATATTATAATAGAAACAAAGAAAAACTTTTTTTTTCAAATTTTTTGCTCTTTTTTTTGTTTATAGTACAAAAAATAAAACACCGAGCGGTGATTAAATACCAGCTCTATTTGTGAGAAAAAAATGATAACAATTTCATATGGGTACAGTGTTCCATGACAGTGCAATTGTCATTCAAAGTGCGACAGCACTGAAAGCTGAAAATTGGCCTGGGCAGGAGGGGGGGTATAAGTGCCTGGTAGGCAAGTGGTTAATAGTCATGCATTTTTCATCCGCTTTTTTAAAATGCAAAAATGAAGAAAAAATTGATCAGCGTGAAAGCAGCCTGAGGCAATCTAGCTCTGACAAACTTTGCAGTGCACCACATGGGGTGTGATTTACTAAAGGCAAATAGACTGTGCAGTTGCTCCAGAGCTTAGTAAATAAAGTAAAGCTTTACTTTGCAAATAATACCCAATCACATGCAATTAAAATAGAAAAAAACAGCATTTTTGCTTGCATATGATTGGATGATGGAAGCCAGCAGAGCTTCTGTTCAGTAAGCTCTGGAGCAAGTGCACAGTCTATCTGCCTTCAGTAAATCAACCCCATGGCATCACACTGCTGTGGATTGTGACACACTGTATGGGAAAGATGATGTTTGTCTTTTTTTCTTTGAAGTGAACAGGCTGCCTTAACCATTTGCCCTCCAGAGGACTTACCCCCCTTCCTGACCAGGCCATTATTTTGCATTATAGTGCTGCGTTATTTTAACTGACAATTGCGCAGTCATGCAATGCTGCACCCAAACTAAATTTACGTCCTTTTTTTCCCCACGAATTGGGCTTTCTTTCAGTGGTATTTGATTGCCTGTGCAGTTTTTATTTTTTGCGCTATAAACAAAAATGATCTACAGTTTTGAGAAAATAACTATGTTTTTAACTTTTTGCTATTAAACATGTCCAGTAAAAAAATTTAAAAAATCAAATTTCATCATAAATTTAGGCCAAAATGTATTCTGCTACATGTCTTTGCTAAAAAAAATCCCAATACGTGTAAATTAATTGGTTTATGTGAAAGTTATAGCGTTTACAAATGGCGGTATATATACTGGGATTTTTTCTTTTTTTTACTAGTAATGGCAGCGATCAGCGACTTATAGCGGGACTGTGGCAGGCATTCTAACACTGGGGGGAACTGACTTGGTGTCACTGACATCCCCAGTGACACCAATACAGTGATCAGTGCTAAAAAAAAGCATTGATACTGTACTAATGACACTGGGCAGGAAGGGTTAACATGAGGGTGATCAAAGGGTTAACTGTGTGCTGGGAGTGTTTTACTGGGGGGCTGTGTCAGTGTGCTTCACTGTAAGCACACTGCTCTGGATGGCTGTGCACAGCCATCCAGAGCAGTGTGCCCGAGCTGACAGGGAGGAGGACTGTTAGTAAACAATGTGGGCAGCACAGTGGCTAAATGGTTAGCACTTCTGCCTGGCAGTACTAGGGTCGTTGGTTCAAATCCCAGCCACGGCACCACCTGCCTGGAGTTTGCATGTTCTCCCTGTGCCTGCGTGGGTTTCCTTTGGGTACTCTGGTTTCCTCCCACAATCCAAAGACATGCTGGTAGGTTAATTGATTCCTGTCTAAATTGGCCCTTGTATGTGTATGTATGAATGTAAGTTAGGGACCTTAGATTGTACACCCCTTGAGGGTTAGGGACTGATGTGAATGTACAATATATATATATGTGTAAAGCGCTGCGTAAATTGATGGCGCTATATAAGTACCTGAAATAAATAAATAAAGCAGTCCTCCTCCCTGTCAGAAAACCTTGATAATCAAGGGTAATCACCAGTCAGGACCCAGCGATTGACAGCCACGGCCACAAATGGTGATGCGGGCAGGGCGTACGTGCGCGCCCCCTGCCCGAAAAACACAAAATCACATATATATATACATGATTTTGCGCAGTATTTCTGCTATAGGGCGGTTGGGATGTGGTTAAAGTGTTACTAAACCCAGGACCCTGCATTCATTATATCTGGTCTCCCACAGTACACACAACATGGAAGTGCAATTATTGTAGTAAATACAAACTGCTAAATACCTTTTCTTATCAGCAGTTAGAGCAGTCTTGTGACTTCTATCAGTGTCCAGCAGAGAACTAGTTAAAGCTTGCAAGAGGAGTTTTCATTTCGCTCTAGTCTAGGATATAGTATAGGAGGATGCAGAACCTCTGACCCACTGTCTGGACAGTGTTGATTGGCCCTGTGCTAATCACATGCACTCTACCAAGGAATAAAAGCAAAAAACTCTAGAAATACACACCAAACTGAGCATGTGCAGAGTGACCACACGATATGTCTTATCAGGAGATAAGAGGGGGACACTGGAAGAAGGGGGGATCAGAGAAGTCATTAACCCCTGACATCCGCCTGGACAGTGCTGATTGACCCTGTGCTGATCACATGCACTCTACCAAGGAAAAAAACCTCTAGAAATACACACCAAACTGAGCATGTGTGGAGTGACTCCACATGATATGCCTTATCAAGAGATAAGAGGGGGGCACTGGAAGAAGGGGAGGATCAGAGAAGTCAGGATCAAAGCCTTGTTACACAACACAGAGGATTAACCCCTTAGGTTCCACAGTGAGTATGACAAGCATGATGTCACTGTTGTGTGTTTAGTAACACTGTAAGAGGTGTGAATTGTGGCATTGCCAGCCATGGTGTGCCCTGCCATGACGTCACTGCCACTCGGAGTCACCTCCATTCGGTGTGCTGTGTAGAAGGTGTTCGGAGGGCTGTAGGGAGCAGGATGGGAGGAATGCTGCGCACTGTATGATGATGTATTACATGGTGACTGCCTCTACCTATCCCGGTAGTGAAGCTGTCGGCAGGGCTGGGCTGGCCTGGCCCTCCCCCGGATGTGTGTGAGGTGGTGCGGTCTTGCAGGCAGTGCTGGGACTGAGGACTGGGAGAAGGAAGAAGGCGGGGGAGGCCGCACGGACTGCTCTCTTCCTCTCCCGGGCTGTGTCAGCGCTGGACGGACAGGGACTTGGTGTGAGGAGGGAGGACATGCCGACACAGAGGGACAGCACCATGTCCCAGCCAGCAGATCAGTCCCACCAGGTCCGGGTCAAGGCGTACTTCAAAGGGTGAGTGTGCTCGGGGCAGGCAGGCTGCTCCATGGAGTGCTGGGAGAGCCGGGGATGGGTCGGGGCAGGAGGACAGATCATTGGAGGGGACCAGACCGGCTCACACACTTCTTCTAGACGGTCTGTGATTGGACTGCCCTGACTGGAGACACTTCCTATGGAGGACTCCTTTCACTGCCACAATAAAGTGGTGTTATCCCCTAAAATGGACTATTATTATTATTACACAGGATTGATCTAGTGCCCCATAAAGGCAGGCAGTCCAATACAGGAGGATTCAGAGGGCCCTGCCCCTAAGAGCTTACAATCTAAGAGGGAATATGGTGCACATGTGTACACCCCGTGTGTTGCTTTGCTTTTTCCTGGAACATACAAAGGGTTACTGTGCGTAGTGCTGACATGTGTTCCCATACATTGTATTGTGAAAAAGTCTGACTTGCTGTACATTGTTTCCAGCATGTATCATCAGCACAACACAGCAGTGTGCACTGCGCCCATTCCCAATATTTCTACAGGTCCTTGCATTGGTATGCCTTGAAAAGAAAGGCCAATGCATGTGATCTGAATGAACACTTAAAGGGAAACTTCACCCAAAATGGCAAGTTCCACTTGTTTGCCTCCTTCTCCCTCCCACTGCCACATTTGGCAATTGTTTGTGGGGGGGGGGGGGGGGGGGGGGGACTACCTGGTTTTGGCAGGTACCCGCTCCCACTTCAGATCAGGTCAGATGCGCCGTGGTGATCTGAGGCAGAAGTTGGCCCCCACGGCTTTCTGGGACACTTCACAGATCCCAGAAGACTACAGGACCATTCACTAAGCGCAGCCCACTTTGCACATGTGCAGTAGGAAACTGGCTGTGAAGCCACAAGGCCCTTAGTCTAGGTTCACACCTAAGCATTTTGCAGAAACGCAATACAGTTTCCAATGGGACATGTTTATATCTCCACGTTTTCAACCAGTGCGTTTTTTTTGGAAAGGGTCAAGGACTTTTTTTTAACCACCTCCCGGCCGCCATATTAGGTAATGACGGGCGCAAGGTGGTTCTCTCGTTCTGAGAGGACGTCATATGACATCATCCCATTCTAACTGCGCATGCGCGGCTCTGGGAGCTTGCAGCGAGCGGTGGTGCGCTGTGTCCCTAGGACACAGCGGATCACTGATCAACGGAAAGAGCCAAAGATGTCGGCTCGAACATGTGATCAGCTGTGTCCAATCACAGCTGATCACATGTAAATAGGGAAATGCTGGTTATCAGCATTTCTCTCCTCACGAGCTGTCACCCTGACAGCTTGTGAGGAGAGGAGAGTCGGTAATCGGCATTACTCAGAGGAGATGTGCACTGATCATCAGCACTCTGATGAACTGTGTAGCCCCAGCAGTGCCACCTGTCCATCAATACCAGCTGTCAGTGCTCATCAATGCCACCTGTCAGTGCCCATCAGTGCCACATCAATGCCACATATCAGTGCCTACCAGTGAACATCAATGCCACATATCTGTGCCCATCTGAGCTGCCTTTCAGTGCCACCTATCAATGCCAGTGAGTGCCGCCTATCAGTGCCATATGAGTGCTTCCTTTCAGTGCCCATCAGTGATGCCTGTCAATGCCACCTACCAGTGCCCCCTCATCAGTGCCCATCACTACAGCCTCATTAGCGCACATCAGTGAAGGAAAAAAATCACTTATTTGCAAAATTTTATAACAAAAACTAAGAAAAAAAGTTTTTTTTTCAAAATTTTCAGTGGTTTTTGGTTTTTATCAAAAAATAAAAAACCCAGAGGTGATTAAATACAACCAAAAGAAAGCTCTATCTGTCTCACAAAATGATATAAATTTCATATGGGTACAGTGTTGCATGACCGTGCAATTGTCATTCAAAGTGTGACAGCGCTGAAAGCTGAAAATTGGCCTGGGCAGGAAGGGGTTATAAGTGCCCTGTAGGCGAGTGGTTAAACACAAAGCGTTTTGGTTCAATAGACTTAAATGGAGACACTGCAGAAATGCATGTAGTGCGTTTTGTATGTGGTTTAATCTGCCCAGCAACAAGTTGGCAAAAGCAAAACGCATCAAAAATGTGCAAAAACGCAAAACACACCACAAAAAGCACTGCAGAAACGGATCAAACGCAAACTGCATAGGTGTGAACCTAGCCTTATCCTAGGTTCACACCTAAGTGTTTTCGGCAAATGTTTTGCAGAAATGCAGTACAGTCCATTTAACATGATTTCCTATGGGACATGCTCACATCTGTGTGTTTTCACCCCGGTGTGTTTTTTTTGGAAAGGGTCAGGGACCTTTTTTTTTTTTTTTTTTTTTTTTTTTAACGAAAAACGTTGCGTTTTTGGTTCTATAGACTTAAATGGAAACACTGCATAAAAGCATGTATTGCGTTTTTGCTGCTTTTAAATCTGCCTAGCAACGAGAAAAAATAAAAAAAAAAGTGTCAAACGCAGTGCAGAAATGGCTCAAACGCAAACTGCATAGGTGTGAACCTAGCTTTACTGAAGATGCCGGGTCCTGCATCCGAAGCTGAACGGCTCAGGTGAGGACAGCACAGGATCCCTGGACAGGTAAGTGCTCTTCTATTAAAAGTCAACAGCTACAGGATTTGTAGCTGCTGACTTTTATTTTTTTTTTGGGGGGGAGCCCGGAGCTCCGCTAATGTGGTTAGTTTTCTTTTATTGTTTTTTTTTTTGTTTGTTTTTTTTTTACTTTTATTTTACCTGGTGATCTGGCTAGTAACACACTTTGCTCACCATACAATCTGATTGTACGCTCTCCTTTAGGCTGGCCATGCATTATACAAATTGACTGTACAATCTCTGTATGATCAACTTTAATTCTACTAAAACTAGGGATGCACCGAAAATTCTGCCACCAAAACATATCAGCCGAAAGTGGCCCTGTCGGCATTTTGTCAGTAGGAAAAATGTAGCCGATACAGTAGACTGTGTATTGCAGATGTGGGGAGAGGAGCAGTGTATACAGTGACTGGCTGTCACTATATGTCAGTGCCGGTCTTTGTGTGATTACCTGCTTTTTTTTTGTCTTCACTATAGCTCACAGAATTAGCTGTCACTTTCCCCCCAAGCTAAGGCTCCATGTACGCTGGGCATTTTAATAACGCTGGTAACGTTAGCTGGATAAAGTCACGTTTTTCTGCGTTTTTGTATTAGCATTTTGCCGTGTTTTTGTTTGCCCTTTTTTGTTGGACAAACAGCCCACCACCTTTGTGGGGAGAGTAGAGTAGGAGAAACCCTATAATCCATGCTCCCTCTAAAGGAAAACCTTTGCCCACATTTACCGTGGTTTTGACCCAAAAGAGATGGCCGCCGGGCTCTCCTCGTGGCTTCCGGGCGGCACGTCACGCTTTTTACATGCTAAAAAAAAGTCCAAAAACACTGGTTTGCCATGATTTACAGCGATTTACCATGTTAGAGCGTTTTTACAGCTAAAAAAAACTCCTCTAGAAATCCACTAGTTCTGGGAGTTTTTTCCAGCCAAAAAAAAAACATTGATTACAGTCTGTGAATGGACACATAGGATAACATGTTGGGGAGTTTACTGGCTGTAGATAAAATGTCAAAAGCCAAAACAAAAAACAGCCGCTGTAAAAACATCCAGTGTTCATGAGGACTAAAAGAAACAGTTTCCTTTTAGTTTATTTCCCAAGAAAAAAGAAACAAAGTTTCCTTTATCTCCGAGGAAAGTGACAGCTAATTCTGTGAGCTATAGTGAAGAAAAAAATAAAGATGCCAATTGCATTCAAAAACTGGCACTGATATTATTAAGTGTTCTTGCATAGCAAGGAACACTTATTGTTATCTCACAAGTATATTCTTATTCTTATTCTTATTATAGCAAATTTGCCACGCTAACTCCTCCCACAGTTTTTACACTACAAAGACAAGTAATATATCAAAACGTGCGGATTGTTCCCGATCGGATTGCTATTACTTTGTGGAACGTTTCGCCGAATCATTCACGAAATATCGCGTTTTTTGTGGCGAAATTTTCCCATAGGAATGCATTGAGCAGCACAGCACAGCTAGAGTGTGCAAAGGAAAAATCTGAAAAATTAGAACATGATTTGTAAACTGCCATCACTCTTTCATTTTCAAGCCCACCTACACATATCTTATATCAAAACATTCAGCTAACCCTGCTGTCACTAAAAATGTTTACGGCTAGGACATACTCCTGATAGTTTTCAGGATATGACCATTTGTTTGCACATCACCCCTCCCATTGACTTTCATTGAAACTCCACTGTAGACACCAGACATTTTAAGGGACGTTTTTAAACTGCGACTGTGCCTTCATTTTTTATCTTTCAGAGACATACTATACATCAAACTGTAGGTATTTTTCCTTGTGATTGTCACAATATAAACCTTTTCACAGTAGCTTTTATACTTTTAAAACTACAAGCGTTTGAAGATGGCAATCGCCAGTGAACTTGCCAAGTTTAAAAAGCCTGTTTAGAGCACAGCTAATGACATTCCTACAGAGTGAGTTGCTATAGCAACCAAACATGACTCACACGCAGCCGAGTCACACAGGCTGGACTGTGAGATGGTAAATACAAGCTGAAATGCATTTCTCCCTCTGTCAGGCTTGCAATGTGCACTGCTTACATGTCATCATTACTTGGTAAAAGTTGCGGCAAGAACACTTTACACAATTTCCCCAGAAATTGTAGATTTTCTAGTAATGAGTTGTTACAGCAGAATCCCCCCCCCCCCCTCCCCCCCCCCCCCCCCCGATCTTTCTAGGTAAGAAAACTGTCATTTTATGGGCAGTTGCCGTGGTCCTGCTCCCATGTCCAGCTATGGCATGAAAAGTCAGTTGGGAGCTCTCATAGGCACCCTGGTGACAGTTAGGATTTGAATGTTACTGGCTGAACCTGCTCATTTGCATATCGTTGCAAAGGATTCTGGGAAATGGGTTTTGCCACCTCAGGGTTGATTAAATCTGAATGATTTGTGTTTTTAGTTGGTTTATAGAGCCAGAAAGCTTTGGAAGTGAAAATAAAAGCCAAAAGAAAGATTTTAAAGTTAAATTCAAATTTGACTCTCCATAGGTTGATATTTTGGTAGTTCGGGGCGGTTTATAAAGACTCGGAGCGTACTGAGTAGATGGAGAGGTTGGGAAAGCTCAATGGACACCAGGTTAGGATCTCTCTAGGGCCGTTTCAGTGCCACCGAGGTGAGGATTCCTCTGGGGGAGTTCATTGATACTGATGTGAGGATCTCTCTGAGGGAAATTCAGTGATTACTGACAGGAGTGATGCCAATAGGAGGATCTCCTTGGGGAGTTCAGTGATACTGACAATGAGGATCTCTCTGGGGAAGTTCAATGATACTGATGTGAGGATCTCACTAAGTGACACTGAAGGGCAATACAAACTTCTCTGAGCCTAGGCCCCGTTCCAGAACACTTGGAAGTTGAGCGTTGTTCCCTGCCTCTCTTTTTTAGGTGTTCCTGCATGGCAGACCCCTCCCTGTTATCTCACATATACATTCTTATTATTATAGCCAAATTTACCCCCCTAACTCCTCCCACAGTGTTTACACTACATAGACAGTAATATACGTAAACGTGCGGATTGTTCCCGATTGGTGGGCTATCACTTTGTGGAACGTTTCCCCGAATGGTTCACGAAATATTGCCGTTTTTGTGGTGAAATTGGTCCCATAGGAATGAATGGCGGAATGTTCAATACTAGAGTGGGAGCCGACAAAAGCTAGAGTGTGAGCTGAAAAATCAGAACATGATTTGTAAACTGCCATCTCTCCCTCATTTTCAAGCCCACCTACACATATCTTATATCAAAACGTTCAGCAATCCCGGCTGCCACTAAAAATGTCCACGGCTAAGCCATAGTCCTGATAGTTTTTCACAATATGACCATTTGTTTGCAACTCACGCCGCCCATTGACATTCATTGAAACTCCACTCTAGCCACCTCAAATTTTAAGGGGCATTTTTAAACTGCGACTTTGCCTTCATTTTTAATATTTCAGAGACATACTATACATCAAAATGTCTTGCGAGTCTCATTTATACTTTTAACCACTTCCCGACCGGCCGTTACATATAAACGGCCGGACGGTGGCACTGTAGGGTCGGGTGGCCGTTTATAAACGGCCTCCCCGCACCCTGCTTGTGCGCGCTGCCTGGGAGCGCGCAGCACCGCAATCCGGTGCCCGCTGTGTCCTCCGGACACAGTGAAACACCGATCGTCGGACGGGACCTCTGTACGAGGTCCCGATCATGTGATCACTGATTGGCCAGTCAGTGATCACATGCAAAGTAGTAAGCAAGATGTCACTTGTGACATCATTGCTTACTACGTGTGAAATCTGTGAATGATCACAGAGGTCACATGGTACAAGGCTATTCACAAAAGCCTTGTACCATGTGACAAGCTGTGACCAATCACAGCTCACTCAGTACTTCTCAATGAGTGCAGGAATGCACACAGAGAGAAAGAGAAATGATTGCTTTTACATCCTATATGGGTGTAAAAGCAATCAGTGTAAAAAAAAAAAATCTTCATCACCCCCCACAAGTAGTACAGTGTCACCATGGTAACACTGTGCTGCTAGGGTGACAGTATGTAAAAAAGTATGTAAAAAAAAATAAAAAATAATATAAATAAAATAAAAATGTAAAAAAAAAAATGTTTAAAAATTATAA